CAACTCAGCCCGTGGTGTTTATCCTGTCAGTGATGAGGGGCACGAAAGAGCCGATGGAGTTTGTGTGTTTCCGACCATGGCAACGCCCAGCTGCTTGCCTTTCCTCGCTGTCTCAACCACCATCACAAAATACACAGGGGGTTGGGCACGTCAAAATGTTAAATCCAATCCAATCCGCATGCTTATGCCTCTTGACTCCTCCCAAGTCTCGCCCGTTCGTGACTTCACTTGGGCGCGTTGGCAAAGTCAGCGTTGGTGGACTTGAAAGTGGACGTGGCCGCAGATAGGCAGACTGACGACTCTTCGATTTCTCCGCCTACTAAAATTTATGACTCAATGAGGCTGTGGGATACTGGTTTGTTAGAACACAAACTCTAGGGTTGGATCGAGTGCGCTGACCCCATGAACAAGTACGCGGACGGTACACTACAGAGACACAGGCATTCGCAACAAAATACGTCCAAGGCAAGCACTCCAGTTATTTATAGCTCCCTTTGCCGTGTTCAATAAGTGTTGCTAATGTAGATTATCCTCCTTAAAACGCCTCTTGATTGTGCTCGCGGATTATAGCACAAAAGGGACTTAAGGTGACTCTGTCTAAAAGGATCTCACTGAGAGATGATTTTAAAAAGGCCGCTTTTACAAATATTGATGACGTCTGAAAATTACCTAGCTAAAATAACTAAAACTCCAAACTATTGCTGCTTTTAATCAAACCAGTGACTTCTTCGGAATAAAATACAGAAAGCGCATTACTTTTCCAGGGTTTATGAAATTCCTTGAATGATATAGACATTTAGTTCACCATTTAGCAGCATATTTTACGTTCCTTTTAAATTGCTCTTCTTCCGAGGTAGTTTGAATGATTTCGTGCAAGCTTAGTCTGCCTTTATTGTCGTTCGAAATTGAACTGTTGATTAAAAAACGGCGACATTATCGTATGTTGTTCCATTTAATTGCGGTTTAAAAACTTTCTCATCTAGTTTATTTGAATAGACATGTTCCGTTGACACTAGCAAATTTGCAATGGTGATATTAGAAGTTAACGTCGGGTCTTAAGGTTAAGGTAAGATGTTAAGGTTTTAAGGTTGCAGTTAGGTTTAGGGGTCTCAAGTTAGAGTTTAAAGGTTGGCGGTTGGCGGTCAAACTAGGAATTTTAGTTTCGAGTTAGGTAAAGCGTTTATAGATAGGATTGGGGCTAGAATACGTGATTTAAGCTTAAATTAGGATTTGTTCACGTAAGTTCTATGTTCACAGGTCCTATGCTAACTTCTGAATTGCTGTTACTGCTTTTGTGGATAATTTTATCTGTTTCTTCCCGTAACTTTCGTTTTTCATCCATTTTTATGGTCTTCTTCTGTTTAATTTATAACCGATATATGCAGAAAATTACCAACAACGTCAAAGGCAACTGGAAAAACCATTTCTGGCTTGTAAGTCGT